TTTTAAATTTCTGGCTTTTAACAGCATTTTAATGAATGCAGCATTGTTGTAGTGGACCCAGCTAGACTTCGGACTTTTGAGTGCTCCACTTCAGTGGAAGAACTCTCAACTTGAGACTTTTCGAGTGACCGACGCAAAGGTAGCTGAAAAAACTTTAAGCCGCTTTAAGCGCAAATTATAGAAACAAATGTTGCGTCAAAGGATTCTTCTGGTCGAGTGTTTTGCGGGTGTCCTGTGCTTGAGCTTAACAGCTTTTGTGACAAAAGCAAATTAATTGCTTTGCCCAATTTCAATTAACTGCACTCCACTCTTTTTGGTTCGCCCAACACGGCAACTTCATCATCGACCGCAAGTGCTCCAAAGGACTTGGCCACTTGTTTTTGTTTTCGCAGTACTCACTGTAGTCGCTACAGCGTCCAAAGCCAATTCAATTAATTTCCACCAGCCATATGACACCTATGGACCAGTGCACATAGCGCAATCAAGTGCACAATGAAGTGACTACCCCCTTTTTCCGAACTGACCCCCTTTTTTCGCACGGGCCCAAAAAAGTATGCTATAGTTTTTATAAGCCATCGATTGCGGGCCACAAAAGTGGGCCAAAACTGTGGTGGTGGCGAAATATTCGCAGCATAATGATTACACTCTCGTGCGGCCATCGCTTGATTTATTTTAAATCCGTTTGTATATATTGATCATTTGGAGGATGTGGCATTTTCAGTGGGCTTTTGTTGAAGCTGGCAGAATGGCAACCATTATGCTAAGTCTGAAAGTATGGTGTTTGTATACTTGCTTACAAAATATATAAATATTTTTTGCAATCACTTTTTAAATGTTCTTTTAAAATACTAAAAAGAACTAAAATATTTTATTTAATTTAAATATAAGAGTAATGAAATAATACAGATAAAGTATATAAACTATAATACATGAAGAGTATATAACATATTAAATTTATTTATTTTCATATTTTCTTAAATGTTATATCATATTCTTTCTAAGTTATTAATTTTACCACCCCCTATCTCACTTTTACCCAAAAAAATCTGTGCTACCAGTCATTTTCTTAATTTCAACGAATTTTCCCCCTGGCATTTCGATACTTATTTTTTTTGGCCGCTGAAAGGCCAGAGAAATGTGCTGAAATTGGGGAAAGCGTGGAAATGCGGGTGGTGGTTAGGTGTTGAGAGCACGCGCGCCGGAAGTCACGTGATGTGTTCACTGTGACACGTACGCGACAGCAGGCAAAGGAAGAAGGAGCAGAAGGATCGGCCGCAGCTGCATCTCTGCCGCTTTCCCTTCGTGCCATCTCCTTTGGCTTGCCGCCTTTGTCGGTAGTAACTTTTCAATTTGGACAAGATGGAAAGCAGGGGCGGAAAATGCCAGCTGAACAAAGGCAGCAACTGCAGGTGGAGTAATAACCACACTGCAAAAAAATCTTAAATATATTTGTCATCTCTATTTATATTCAGGCTCAGCACGAAAACCCCTTTTAAATATTTATTAAACAAACAAAAGATTGATTAAAAATTTCATTTTTTATAAAACTTTTTACAATGATTACTTTATTTAATGAAATGTAAAATTAATCTTAAAATCAATAAATTTCATATTTTAAAGAGTCAGTTAAATGGCTAGAAATATGATGTTCAATATGTTCATATGATTAAGTAAGGTTAATGATATTTTTTCCGGTACCACGTTGGCGAGTTATGACCAGAGAAAAGCTTAAAGCCAAACTGCAAACTCGACTCATTAAAATCACTCCGAGCAGGTGTGTGTGATACATCCTGAAACAGCAAACCAGAAACCAGCAAGCCGGCTACAACAAAAAAAACCCGACTTCGGCCCAGTTCCGGGTTAAATAATTAAATTTCGCTGCAAAAATGGCCAGCGGGCATAAGTTACGCCACGGCCAACGCGGCGTATGCGCAACGTTTCATTTTTATTTAACGCTGCCTAGCCGGAAGCCAGGATCTCGTCGAGTCGGCTTGGGTTTTGGTTGCGGATTGGGATTGCGTTGGGTTTACGACGGGTGGGTTATGTTTGGGTGGTCGGTGGTGCAGGTACTTCGTGTGGTGCAGGTGGAGCTGCAGGTGCAGGAGCAGCATATTTCACGGCACTAATGTAGCCGGTCATAAAATCAAAATGTGCACGGCGAAGGAGTGCCGTAATATGGCAGGGGAAAAGGCTGGGGGGGGGGGGGGTTTCTAGGCGTAGCGGTAGGCGTGCCAGCATATATGTGAACAAGGTCCAACCCAGGTAACTCATTTAAAAAATTGTGAGAAAAAATATGCCACCCCAGTTAGGGATCATTTTAAAACTCATGAATGTAGAATGCTCTTTCTTTTATTTTCGGAACAAAAACATTATGCAAGTGAAATAAGAGTTCGTAAATATTTTCCATTAAATAACATCAGCAGTTTAATTATCCTTTATTGCATTCTTTTAGCTATTTATTTGTTGCGATCTACCCATTTCACTTATTTTTAGGAAGTCTTATCCCACTTTCTTTAATTAACTAAACTCATTCCCATCAAGTTTTTACTTATTATCCATCAAATTCCATTCCTAGAGAAACAACAATTATTTCTTGGTATTTGAGATTTTATTCAACAAATACCAACCACAAATCTTTATGCCCCAACTCAAGAAATTGAATTAATTTTTTCAACTTTCTTACATATTTTTTGCTGTTATAAAACTATGCAAAAAAAGAGAAACCATGGTAAATGTCAGGACAGCGAGAGTTCTGGACTGGGATACTACTTCGGGGGGGCGGGTAAAGATGGGCGTGGCAGCAACACCCCGACATCAGCGTGAAACTACATGGATGGCTGGGCATGAAAATGCCCCGAGGGTTCCTCCATAAATGGGAGGGTTTTGGGAAGGGGTGGAAACAGCATGTGTTGAAATGCAAACTTGATTTTTTCCTTCCTCCGCCGCGGTGGCTTCTGTTTTTCTGGTCTGAGCTCTGCTCATTAAATTTTATTTTATAATTACACACACCAGCAAACACACACAAGCACTAGCATACGCACACGCACACCAGCACACACAGTACCCCTCATTTAGGAGTTAGGCTTTAATGTTTTCGGGCGACGCGTAATTGGGTTTTGGATAACGCAGCATTTTTCTTCGCTTTTTTTTGCAGGGTATGTATAGTGGAAAAATATACGTTTCGGTACAAAAAAATTGGAAAAAACTTTTTGCTTAGAATATAAAATTTAGCAGATATAGATTCTGTTGAAAGAAAAAAACAAAAAAAAAGAAGCATAAAATAAATAAATATAGCACACAACATTTTGTAATTATAGTTGGTTATTATCAATAACCTTTTTTTATATATTTTCTTTAGTTTACAAAACATTAAAATAATGGTGCGTAGAGTACCGCAGGATATTTATAATTTTTATAGCCTTATTTACATACATTATTTTATAGCTTAACTTAAGGTTAACAGGGGTTAAAATATATTTTTTTTAATTTACAGAACCTCCAACCAGCTAGAGTAATTCTTGGTCTAGAATATAGATTGCACTTATTTTGTTCCTGACCATTTGGTTAGTCCCCGGAGTTTAGACCATGACGCAGGCAAATTTACTTTGCTTCACGAATTAGAACCAACAAAAACAATTGGGCGAAATGCTGGCCCGCCAACAACAATGGGCTATATCAGCTGTAATCGCAGGGGAATGGGGAAAAGCGGGTGTTCGGTGTGGAGGTGCGAGGTCGGAGGTCAGACTCCGTTCAGTTGGGCAGACGGTGATTAAACTAAAGTGTTCGAAAGTTAATTGGCGCAACAACAACAGCAACAATTATACTTAGCCACTATTATGCCTCACGCTTGACTGAACGCGCTTTTCATGGGGTGGGAAAATGGGCGAAAAGGGGGTAGTGCCATAGATTCGATACGGAATGAAACTAACGGCACTTAAACCAAATGACCAAAGCGCACGACTAAAAGTCAGTAAAATGTTCGAGCATCGAGGAGTTACGGGGAAGGTGACGGTTTCCTCCGACATTTGGAAATGGGAAAAGTTGGCAGATAAATGACAGATAAAGACAGCCCAAAGTGAGAATCGAATAAAGTGTAGTGGTCTTGTTATTGTCGACGTTTCAATTATGCTTTCCAATTGAGCAAGCCTTAATTGTTTTGTCATAAAAAAATAACTGCCATTGATAGGTTATTCCATAGACAGTTAGTGTCAAAATAATATTATAATAAAAAGACAAGGATTATTTGAAATAATTTTACTTATTGGTAAAAATAATAATTGCATACATAGATCATTATCATTATGTCCCATAGTCCTATAAACTATTCTTTAATAAAATGAATAGATAAGCCTGTATAAAAATCCAAATATCAAATTACATATTTTTTATGTTTTTTTTATTTTATTTTCTACAACTGAACTGAACATCAACCACTGTAAAGGACTCACCAAAATACTTGCGGCAATTTCTAGGCCATTTCCCTAATACACATCCCAGTCAACATACATTGTTTTTTTGTTCCACAAAATGGCATTATTTAAAAATGTCGATGGGTCACGCTGAACTCGTCAACGTCCTTCAATGGAATAAACTGTATTTTTTTGCTGCCCGGGACAATGTTGCCGTCGTCGTGTAATTGAAAACGGTTATTGACAAGTTAATGGCCCAAACAACTAGCCAACTAAGGGGATCTAAACTAGCTACTGTAATTGCCTATTTGTATGCTAACCCAAATGAACCGAAAAAATAACTGCAGAAAGAGTGAATAAATTATAAGCTATGCTGCCCACGATTCTACTAATATGTTTGCTGTTTTTATTGGCATGCTGATGTTAACTTGTTTTACATAAATTCTAATAGTCAAGATTATCTAAATTATAAGGATATAAGGCAGGCGGTCTTATAGTTTTTGAAACGCACTGAAAAAAATTGTAAAAAATATAACGTATTTAGTAATATATTCTACTAAGTTATTTAATTTATTTTATCCCATTTTTCAGATTACCCTCGCGTAGAGGTGGGCCCCCAAAATCCTCTGCGAGTGGAACGCGATCATGTGGCAAAACTGGAGTGTAGAGTGGATGCCAAGCCGATGGTCAGCAATGTTCGATGGTCTCGCAATGGTCAATATGTGAGTGCCACGCCCACACACACTATATATAGAGTGAATCGTCATCATGCCGGGAAATACACCTGCAGTGCGGACAATGGTTTGGGCAAAACCGGGGAAAAGGATATAGTTCTGGATGTCCTTTATCCCCCGATTGTGGTTATAGAATCGAAAACCCACGAGGCGGAGGAGGGAGAAACTGTTTTGATTCGTTGCAATGTCACCGCAAATCCTACACCCATTAATATTGAATGGTTGAAGGAAGGAGCTCCCGATTTCCGATACACGGGAGAGCTTTTGACCCTGGGTTCTGTGAGAGCTGAACATGCTGGCAACTATATTTGCCGATCGGTGAATATAATGCAACCATTTAGTTCTAAAAGGGTAGAGGGCGTGGGTAATTCCACGGTGGCCTTGTTAGTTCGACATCGTCCGGGACAGGCGTATATAACCCCCAATAAGCCCGTCGTTCATGTCGGCAATGGCGTGACCTTGACCTGTTCAGCAAATCCACCAGGATGGCCTGTTCCCCAATACCGATGGTTCCGCGACATGGACGGTGATATAGGAAATACGCAAAAAATCCTGGCACAAGGTCCCCAATACTCGATACCCAAAGCCCACTTGGGTAGCGAGGGAAAATACCATTGTCATGCGGTGAATGAGTTGGGAATCGGTAAAATAGCCACCATCATTTTAGAAGTACATCAGCCACCTCAGTTTCTGGCCAAACTGCAGCAACACATGACTCGAAGGGTTGGTGATGTGGACTATGCGGTGACTTGCAGTGCCAAAGGAAAGCCCACTCCGCAAATTCGATGGATCAAAGATGGCACCGAGATTTTACCCACTCGAAAAATGTTGTTCGATATAAGAACCACGCCCACCGATGCCGGTGGTGGAGTGGTGGCGGTGCAGAGTATCCTGAAATTCAGGGGCAAAGCCAGGCCCAATGGAAACCAACTGCTGCCAAACGACAGAGGTCTATACACTTGTCTATACGAAAACGATGTGAATTCGGCCAATTCTTCGATGCATTTGAGGATCGAACACGAGCCCATAATCATTCACCAGTACAACAAGGTGGCCTACGATCTGCGGGAATCAGCTGAGGTCGTTTGCCGGGTTCAGGCATATCCAAAACCTGAGTTTCAATGGCAATTCGGAAACAATCCTTCGCCGTTGACCATGTCTTCGGATGGACACTACGAAATCAGTACAAGGATGGAGAATAATGACATATACACTTCCATCTTGAAGATAGCCCACTTACAGCACTCCGATTACGGGGAATATATATGCAGAGCGGTCAATCCCTTGGATAGCATAAGAGCTCCTGTGAGATTGCAGCCCAAAGGAGCGCCGGAAAAGCCGATGAATCTAAAAATCCTCGAGGTGGGTCACAATTATGCTGTCTTGAATTGGCAACCGGGATTCAATGGAGGCTTTACGAACACTAAATACTTGGTGAGCTATAGGCGAGTGACCACGCCCAGGGAGCAGACCTTGTCCGATTGTTCGGGTCACGGTTACATACCCAGCTACCAGATAAGCAGTTCGTCCAGTAACTCCAACCACGAATGGATCGAATTCAATTGCTTTAAGGAAAACCCCTGTAAACTGTCGCCTTTAGATCAGCATCAGAGTTACATGTTCAAGGTTTATGCTCTGAACTCCAAGGGATCTTCGGGCTATTCGAATGATATATTAGCCACCACTAAAGTCAGTAAGATTCCACCGCCCTTGCACGTGAGCTATGATCCCAATTCGCATGTGTTGGGCATTAATGTGGCCGCCACGTGCTTGTCCCTGATTGCGGTGGTGGAATCACTGGTCACTCGGGACGCCACTGTGCCCATGTGGGAGATTGTGGAGACCTTGACCCTGCTTCCCTCGGGCAGTGAAACGACCTTCAAGGAGGCGGTGATCAGTCAAATGTCGAGACCCGCCCACTACACCACGGCCACCACATCGGGTCGGAGTCTGGGGGCAGGCGGAGGGGGTGGTGGCTCGCACCTGGGCGAGGATCGCACCATGGCCTTGGCGGAGACAGCGGGTCCGGGTCCCGTGGTGCGGGTGAAACTGTGCCTCAGGTCCAACCACGAACATTGCGGAGCCTACGCCAATGCAGAAAGTGAGTATTACATAGCTAACAATTTTAATTTTCTATCCCATAATCTATCAAAAAAACAAATTTCTTAATTAGGTCGATACAAAACCCAACATTAATTAGTTTGATATATAAAGTCTTCATATTAAGACTTACTTAATTTTTAACAGCTGTTCCCAAATTTAAATTTCTTCATTAAACAGTAATTTTTGTACATTAAAAAGTTAAAATTAGAGAGACAGTCCAAGGACAATTATATATAAATACTAAATAAATTAATTGGTTGGCCAATTAGGAATACAAAATACTCTATATAAGCCCGAAAATTCCCAAGCTCATCCCATATAATCCCTCTTTCAGTTGGCAAGTCCTACATGCCGCACAAATCCTCCATGACAACCTCTGCGTTGGTGGCCATCGTCATCGCCTCGATTTCGTTCCTGGTCTTCCTGGCCCTCCTCTACGCTTTTTGTCGCTGTCGCCGGAGAAACGCCTCCAAAAAAGAAAGTGGGTCGACGGGAGGAGGAGCCTCGAGTGCCTCGAACACCGGCTCAAATCCAGGAGCCACGGTGGCCAAGGAGTACGACCTTGATCTGGACGCCAGCAGAAGACCTTCGCTTAGTCAGGACCCACAGCAATCGCAGCAGCAGCCTCCACCGCCGCCCCCTTACTACCCCACTGGAAGTCTGGACTCCAAGGACATTGGCAATGGTAATGGTGGGCGGGAACTGACCCTCACCGCCCTCCACGATCCCGATGAGCAGCTGAATATGCAACAGCAGCAGCAGCACCACAATAGCCACGGCCAGTACCAACAGCCCAAGGCCATCCTGGGAATCTACGGGGGAGTGGGCGGTGCGGGGGGCAATGGATCCGGCGGACAGCATCCACATTCGAACGGCTACGGCTATCATGTGACAAGTGCCATCGGCGTGGACGGCGACAGCTATCAAGTGCTGCCCTCCGCCGCCAACTCAGCAACCGGCTCCCACGGACATGGAAGCGGACATGGACATGGACATGGCCACGGACTAGGAGCCGGAGAGTGTGAGTACAGACAGAGCAAAATGTCCAGCCTTGATTAAAAATTACTGAAGTATTTACATGGTTTGGGAAGGTGGTGCTAAATCTATAATTCTGGAATACCAAAAACCTTTTCGGTTGAATTGCAAATTCGTACCAAAGAAATTATCAAAGAAGATATCCTTATCCAAAATAAGTTTAAATTTTAAAAAATTTTAAAACAAGTAATAAATTTTTTTTTTAATATTAAGAAAATGACGTAAATGAAAGCAAACTTTGTCAAGACGAAGATTATATCATTTTGCAGATATTACAAGAGCTAATAATATTATAAAACGACTATATCATAACTTATGAATTCTAGCATTTATGCTTAAAAACAATAGGGTTATATCGATTTTCAAATACATGTTTTGATCGTTTGTTTTAGTCGTTACATTTCAAGAAAATAGAAGACTTATTTTTATAGTAATTTTTAAATTCAGCCACTCCTTCCTCTAGCCTTCACCACCTGTTTCGCTCAGTGTGTAATGCTGGACAGATTTCGTTTCAGCCAGGCGACAACTTATGAAGAGACGTGGCTCTGTGGCTAGAAAAGTGGGTTGCGGATTGGGTTTTTCGGGGGTTTCCGACGTTTTCGGTGGGCGTGTGTGTCTTGATTAAGCGACACATTTTTCGGCGCAGATTTATGGCGGCCATTTCGATGGGGCCCCCTGTTCCCCAGGCCGGAGTTTTTGGCCGTAATTGCATTTCATGTCAATCTAGAGCGGCTGCTCCTCCACTTACCGAGCTACTCATGCAAATGCAGTGCCTCCCCTGTCCACGATTTTCCCACGCTTTTCCCCCGAGCGTGCCACCCGATTTTCCATGCTGTTTGGTGTCGGGCATAAGCAGCTCGCCTTGGCAACCGAAATGACACCAATTGGGAACGCAGAGCGCCACCGGAAACGGAAACGGGAGCGGCTGAAAAGTTGCCGTCGTAATTCCAATTAAGTGAGAATTAAATCGTTAGCCTTCAGCTGGCATTGTCCCTTCGATGTAATGTCCACTGTTCCATTGCCCCGTTTTTAATTGGTCACAAGTCGGATCAAGAGCTTTGAGAAGTCTAATCGGAATTGTGAAGGATTTCTGAAATGGCAGATATGTGTCCTTAATTGTTTTGAGAACGAAACAATTTATTTTAGTTTAAGTATTTTTTCAATCACAGGCATGCAATTAAATTTAATTGTTTATGTAATAGATATACACAAAATGGTCAAAGGAAATGACGATACAATTGATGGGTAGCGATGTCTTGTAAACAAAACAATTTAATCATTTTATTTGTATAAATATAATAAAATCAAATATTTGAGTAAACTGGAGAAGGTTATCTCAGCCATTTAATCAAGCGTAACTTTGGCGTCGAAACAATTTTCGGAATTCTGGATAGAGTTTCTTGAAAGTCATCCAGTTCGCTCTACATATTGCAACTCATTTCTTTTCCTTTTTAGTGCTTTAAGAAACCAGTCGTATTCTTAAGTTTTTTATTCAAGTCGCCAGTTTCACTTGCAAACAAGCTGACAAAACTCAATTAGCAACAAGAACGCGACTAGATGGCTTAGGTGAGCAGATAAAGTACGGACAAAATCGACTTAGAGTTCGACTTCAACTTCAAAAATAAAATAAGCAAATTTAACGCTGTTAAGAAACTTGAATATACAAATTATTTTCTCAAATAATCCCCTTAAAGAGGTCACCACTTAGTCTTTAATCCGATTAGGCCGGAGAACTTAACCCAAACCCGAGAGCATTTCTGCACCTTATTTTGCACCTCTGCCCACCTGAGTTTTTCATCGAAAGGGGTGTTGAACAATAAAGAAAGGAACTCTATTCACACCTAAATGGAAAGCTACAAGTTTGAAAATAAATGGAGGGGTGAGCTCCACTGCGAAAACTAGTTTAAAATGTAGATAAAATATAGGAGATATTTTTTTAATTTAAAATGAATATACTTCTGAACTCAATGCAACTTTGATGAGGTATATTAAAAGTTTAAAAATTTTAAATTTAAAAAGCGATAACCTTAGGTTTCAGTAAAATTTAATAAATGCTCCTAGACAAAATAAGGCTAACGTGGTTTTTTGTCATATTTTGACATCAAATTGGTATGAAAAAATATTGGGTTGTTCAACTTATTATTATTAACTTTAGGTTATTTGTATGTCAGAACTTTTCTCCCAATGTTGCCCCCAAGAATGCATTTTAACTGTGGGTTCCGCGGCTTTTGTTGCGCTTTTCTTGCGTCTCCCTTTTGGCAAGCGTCAACTTAATTACTATTTCTCTGCCCTCGCACATACACACTCATACTCACACACCCACTCACACTCGACAACACACACACTCCCACACACACATTGTTGGTGTGTGGTTGCAACCAAAGCAGGACCACTTGAGGCGATGCCAGCAACATGCAACATCAGTGGCAGCAGCAGCAACATTAACCCAATGCAGCAGCAACATCCAGCACGCGCCAATTTAACGAGCCAACCCACCATCGCCAACACCACCACCAACAACTACAACAACAACAACAACAATCACTCCGACAACAGCACCACCAACAACACCAACAATTGCACCACCCTGAAACGCAGCCATTTGGGAAATAGAGAAAGGGAAAGATCCCAAGTAACCGCAGCCACAGCGGCGACAACAACAGCATTGGCAACCACCATAACAACAACATCTCGTAACGCCAAGGCAGCAACAACAACAACCACACTAGCCATCACAGGTAACACCAGCTACCAGCGACAAGAACCAAAAATAATATAAAAAAAAATCAAAAGGAGAAACTTTCGCACCACACGAGCAAATAAACAAAAAAACCACGCACCGTTTGCACAAAAAGCACCCAAAATAAACGTAATATTTCTGTTGATGTTTCCTCACTAATTGTTGTTGCACTCTAAAATTGTTTTTGAATTTGGAGATATAATTAAAAATATGTAAGGGGATGTGGGGTTTCCATTGGCGAAGCTTTTTTATTAGAGGAAAAAGCATACAAAATCCACTCTGTCCTTTTCACTAATATTTCCAGGACTTTAAAAAGAATTTGCATGAGCAAAGGAAACTATTCTTTTTTTCTGTTCAATTAGAAACAAATAAATCACATTAATAAAATTTTAAGAGTCTCTAAAACTAAAATAAACCTAATGTTGGCAAGGAAAAGAATAAAATTGTGCCAAGAAATTTCAAAACGGGTCAGAGTGATTTGATTTTATTGCTAAATAAAATACATTTAAAATAAGTCTTCAATACACCTTCCTTATTTTTTAAATAAATTTTGAGGACTTATAGGAATTACTGAAGTAAAAAGTAGATCAGAAAATATGTTGTTACAAATTAATCAATTAAAAACAACACAACAAATACCTTTCCCTTATGTGTCCGATGTATTGACACTTGATTATTTTACCGCCAAACCAACCGATTAAAATTCTCACAAGTCAGATACAGAAAATTCCGTCGACAAATTTCCATGATCCAAATTCGTACATTCCGTTGGCAATTCATAAACCTTATTCTCTCAATTGTAAAACACAAAAAACGGATTTTTTTAAGAGTTATTGGAATGTATTCGCTGCTGCCGTTGATGTACCGAAGGCATAGTTCCCAGCTGAGGGTCCTTCAGTGGACGATCCAGTCGAGTCAGAGCTTCTTCAAGATGAGTTTCAAGGCGCCGGCGATGAAGGCATCCCAGGCTTCCACCATCAAGGAATTGACCAAGAAGCAAACGCAACAGCAACAGCAATCTCAATCGCAATCGCAGTCCTCCCAATCCCCATTGCAATCGCAATCTTCGGCACCGCAGCAATCTCAACCACCTCAGCCACCGGAAATCAAGAAGAATCCCTTGGGCCTGAGCCCCATCAACTCGAAGAGTCCCAAGCCCTCGGTTCAACCAAATATCCCTGATCAGCGGGCCAAGTGGCTGGCCAAGGTTTCGCCGGCGATTCAGAGGAAAGCCAAAATGGCAGCTGACAAGGGAGCTCCACCTTCGGGTCCGCCAAAAAACCAGTTCAATCAAGGCAACAGTCCCGCTTTCGGGGAGAGTCCCTCGCCAAGTTTGGCTACTTCACCCAGGAGCCAACCCTCCTGGCAGCAAAACAGTCAAAAGAAACCGGACAGTGAAGATTCTGGGGCTTTCAAGGGCGCCTCTTCCGAGTCCCAGCGCAAAAACTGGATGAATCGCATGCAGGGATCGCAGCAAAAGAAGCAGAATCAGTGGTTAAAGGACATGCAGGCGAAGATGCAGGCGGGCAAGGACATTCATGCTCAGAAGATGCAGAAATTGGGCTCTCAAAAGGCCACGGCTTCATCTCCACCTGCTCAAGAGGCGACAAAAGCTGCTTCTCCAGTCGAGGAACAACCAGAGGAGAAGAGTCCAGAACACCTGGCTTATTTGGACGCCATCAAGCAACTGAACAGCTACCAGGTGCTGGAACCCACTTCGGGAAGAGTCACCACCAAGAGCAGTAGGAAGGAGCCGGATCCGGTGGTGGAGCAAACCTTGGAGTGTCTGGAGAAGACGGGACTGACGAGGAAGCAACTGAAGGCCATACCCGTGATCCAGGTGGCTGGTTCCAAGGGCAGGGGTTCCACTTGTGGCATAGTGGAGAGCATTCTGCGATGCCATGGGGTGCGGACCGGGATGCTCTGCTCACCCCATCTGTTTCTGACCAGCGAAAGGATCAGGATCGACGGCGAACCCTTGGGCGATGTTCAGTTCACGGAACTCTTCTGGAAAATCAACACCGAGCTGGCCAATATGAAGCCCACACCGTCGTACAACAAACTGATGACGGTGATGGCCTTTCACGCCTTCCATCAGTCTGGTGTGGAGGTGGCGATCCTGGAGGTGGGCAACGGCGGTGCCAGCGATGCCACCAACATAGCCACCCACGCCCAGACCATCGGGATCACCACCTTGGGCTGGGAGCAGAGCTCGAATCTGGGCAACTCCCTGCGAGACATCGCCTGGGCCAAGGCGGCCATCATGAAGCCGGAGGCGAATATCTACACGAACGTCAGCCAAACGGAGTGCTGTGAGGTTCTGGCCCAGAAGGCCAAGCAGATTGGTGTGCAGCTCCACCGAGTGCCCACTTTCAACGACTACATTGAGGGTGACATGAACAACAAGCTGCTGATGAACAAGGCCAATTACTCGATGAGACTGAACGGATCGCTGGGCATTCAGTTGGCATACGATTTCCTGAGGAGACACAAGCCGGAATATGTGGTGGGCCTGGATCACAATTCTACGCTTTTGACTCCGGGTGCGAGTCGTGGGATCGAGAGCTTCGAACAGCCGGGACAATTTGATTTCATCCGGCACGACATGTTCAATGTGTATCTGGACAGTGCCGATACCTTCGAGTCGATGATGGCCTGTCGGGATTGGTTCTACACGAGGACTCGATCCAATCGCCAGCCGAAGATCCTGCTCTTCAACAAGGTCAACGAGTTTAATGCCAAGGATCTGCTGACCATCATACGCAGCAATCTGCGCTTCGAGGAGGCCTGCTTTGTGCCCAATCCCAACTACTTTGAGGGCGAGGTCCTGGCCGAGGACGATGGCAAGGCCATGGTGTGGCACGGCATGGAGGAGCTGCAGAGGGCCAAGAGGAATGCGGGCAATTGGCGGGCCCTCTGCGAGGAGAATGGCAAGAAGGACAACTCGCAGCTCTCCATATCCATAAACGCCTTCTTCGAGTACCTGGTCAACAAGTATGGGAAACAAAAGTACGGAATGAAAAGCGAACTGGACGTTCTGGTCACCGGTTCTCGGCAATTAGTGGCTGCCACAATATCGTGCCTCCGGAAAATGAAGGCATCGAATCCTTGGCAATGAAAATCGGAGACAGCGAATATTTCAACATTTTTTTTTACCTTAAATTTCGTCGTGAAAGTTTTCGTTTGTTTGTTATTTTTAGAAATACAATTCTCACGTATGTATAATGATTTTGTTTGGCTTTTCTACTTCAAAGTTGGAGACTGTGTTGCACTTTTCAAGCATTTGCTATGAAATTTGTAGATCAACAAGATATAATTATATATTTTATGGTGGAAGTAAATTAGAATAAATATTAGTATAAATGTTTAATCCCACCTAAAACCAATTTAACAAGTACAAGTCGTTAACCCTATACTTTGCTATTCAAAGCGGGTTATAGCAATCCTTTGGACAGCTGCCTAATGAAAATGACAGGGCATTATTGCCCTATATATACATATATATATTTGTGTTTTTGTTAGTGCGTGTTTTCCAATTAGCCACTGTGACTTTCAAGTTTTCTTACTCACTGCAAAGCACCTAAAGCACTTGGCACCCCTTTTCGACACCTTTTTCTTCTATATCTGCACAGCAACTGACTAATGTTAGTGGCCCTCTAATTTTGACCATAATTATTCAAGGAAATGTGGTAAATTTCAGGGTCCAGCAACACTTCGAACGAGAACAACTACAGTAATGCCAGGGATCTGTCGCAGGAGGCATTGTGGCGCCTCCAAATGGCCGCCGCCCAGTCGCAGCAGATTTATGTGGAACGGCCACCGTCGGCATTCAGTGGCCTGGTCGACTACAGTGGCTACTCGCCGCACATCCCGACGGTCACCAGCTCCCTCAGCCAGCAGAGTTTCAGTCCCACGCAGCAGTTGGCGCCCCACGAAATGCTGCAGGCAGCCCAGCGGTATGGAACTCTCAGGAAATCCGGAAAACAACCGCCTCTGCCGCCGCAGCGAAAGGACTTGCAACAGCAGGCGAAGCCACCACAGCAAATGGGTGAGTTAATTACTAAAAACATGTTTCCTGAGTTGTTAATATATATATCAAAAGTTGTCAAAATTTCAAGTAAATCAAAGCAAAGCTAACCCAGATACATCGACTCATTTCTTTTTTACAAATTAAATATAATTTCAAGAATATTTTAAACGTTACAACATAACAAAATCATTTAAACATTATTTAAGCATTTTTTTAATAAATACTTTAATATTTTATTTTGATTCAATGAACAGTACTACTGGTCTGCAAAATTTCGATTCTTTGTTAGATAATGGCAATAATAAATAATGCGAATATTATTGTTTGGTATATTTTTGTACCCCTGCAAAGGGTATTTAAATCTCTTGCAGTGTATAAGACATTTCTGATCTTATAAATTATATATTATATATTCTAGCATTATCAGGAGAGTCGATCTAGTCATGCCCGTCTGTCCGTTTCTACGCAAACTAATCTCTCAGCTCTATAAATAAAACTTTTCTTAAAGTTGTTTTTATTTTGCAAGTAATCGAAATAGTTGTAAACCATTTTTAAAAAGAAATTTAAATATAGTCTTTTTTATGATTAAGTTTTGTTTTTGTAATTACTGCAGATGTATATAAACTTTGGCATGCTTTTCTTTAATTTAAGATACATATAATTTATACTTTTCACACCGGAATTCGTGGAATTCGAATTCTGCGAATGTTTTTTTTTCAGCAATATATATATATAACATTTGGGTGGTTCAAAAAACATACCCTTAGAATTTTGTGCGAAAGAATCGTGTTTATTAAAGATGTTTTGCATTAGTCTCAGACTCATAAATTTAACAAGTTAAAAATGATTATTTAATTACAGCCTATGCTTTGTATGATTGTTAAAGTCTGAAACCAAGACCTTGGTTTCAAAAACTGAAACTCATTTTTATTCAACACATTTTATATAGAATGCCATAAACTGTTCAAAGTGCACAGTTTGTTCGGGTGAAAGTAGATTTAATTTTTTTTTATTTAAAATTTGAATACAATTTGGACCACCCTAATGTATATAAAATAATTGTATATATTTACAATTTAATAAATGAGAGCCACTTGGAGGCTTTTTGAAATACAGCGAATACATTCTACACTAGTTCATTGGCAACGCTCGCCTTTTGCAGTTCTATCTTCGCAAAATGTTTAATATTGGAATTTATATATTATACGCCTTTGTCGGCAGCAATCTGTACGTGATGGTTAAGTCCCAAAATAATAACGATTTCTGGGAACAAGATAATTTTCAAGATGCTAACATAAATGGAAAACTAGCGTTAGTATGGCGCAAGCTGGAAAATATGGAAAAAATGCAAAAAGAAACACTGGAAAATAGGGACAGAACTCGATGTGTAGTTACTGATGCCCCAATACAATGTGGAGCATTCTGTCTTGCAGCACTTAATCCTCTATATAATGATATGGATATTCAAGTCAACACCCTTAATAAAAGCCTGGCGATTCAAAATAGAATGCTAGCCAAGATTAACACGGTGGAACAGTGGGATAAATCTAACCAATATGGTGAGCAGTTAAAAGGCCTGGCTGAATTACTGAAAGAAACCCAGGAAAAACTGGGCAGGATTGAGGCTAAAATAAATGCAGGACCAGCAGATACACAGGAGATCATCCCAACCGGCTTTGAAAAGATTGGATCGAGATACTTTTATTTTGAGGACACTACCAGGCTGGATTGGCTTGATGCTAGAGACAACTGTCGGCAAAAGGGGGCTTATCTTGCGTCTGTTCAAAATCAAGAGGAGCTTGATGCCATCAATGGAAAAGTCCATCCGCATAGCTATTATTGGCTGGGCATCAATAAGCTGAACTATAACGATGACTACGTAAATGTAGCATCTGGCAAGCCAACAACTTTCTTTAACATGTGGCCTGGATTACCTAACGGATACACAGGAAACGGTCACTGCATGGCCTTGGGTGGCAAACTAATGTCTAAACATGAATGTGACTCAAAAATGTGGTTTATTTGTCAGTTAGACAGCATAGTTTAATGTTTTAAGAAATGTATGATTTCAAAATTTTTTTCAATCTTGTAAAAGGTGTTTTGATCTTGTTTAGATGTTAGTAAAAAAAATCTTTGAACGAACCAAATAAATATTCTAGTACTAGCTTATCCAGGCGAGTTCTTATGAACACCAAATTCAAAAGTGTTTAGTTTTGTTTTAACCCTTTTTTCAATCTAATTGCCTGGTGATAAATGGTAAAGAGAATATCGGCACACAATTCAGATCCATTTTAAGGGTTTCCCAATATCTCGTACAATTTAACAAAAATGTGATTATTGCGGCACAAAATGTTCGACAAGCAACAAGAAAATCTCATTGGGAACATAATCCATTCACAAATCCAATTCAGACACAAATCCGTAGCCTGAAAATCCGAAATCGGTTGAGGCGACTAAGAAATCAGTTTGATTGATTATGCACTTAAGTGTTGGGAAATGTTTGGCCAAGAGTTTTGCTGATGCTCCGAGCTGAAGCTGCTCGGATAAATAAAATAGAGTTTCCACAATGGAAGGCAAGGACAGTACTCCCCCATTTTACCCCTCCTCAAACACACACAACACCCTCCTTTCACCGAACACCGATATAAATTTCTGTATAGAATTTGCATCTGTACATCCTTTTATGCAGCAGCAGCAGCACACACAGATAAATGCACATAAAACTGTCTGTCCCCTTGCAGAAACCCCTTAGAAATGCTCCTCCTATCAAAAACAACAAATCGCTCGCAGCGACAACTATCGCCGTTTCTTCACAAAAAATAAAAATATGGAAGTAAAAATACTGGGAAAATACCAAAACAAAATACGAAAAAACAGAAAGAGAACGATGCACTAGGGAGACAAGGAGAGCGCTATTAAAAATGTAAAATGCTGAAGCAGAAAATGATTTAAAAATCAAAATCAAACAACGCTGCCAGCTGTAAACGAAGTGAACCAGGAAAAATACATTTCGCAAATAAATAAAAACACAAGCAGGCATTCACAGGTAGCAAAATATGAGTAAATAAAACCATGGGAACTAATGGGACAAAAGGTATAAAAACATAGGTTATAGTTGCCCATATTTGTTTGCCTAACAATATATTCTATTCTAAAAAAACAATAAACATTAAATGGAAAATTATAAAGTTGTTATTTTATTCAGGAAACAGCATTTTTCCCATTGGCAAATATTTTTAGGCAAATAGTCACATAAAAAAGACAAGTACAGTTTTTAAACTAGTTTAAGGTTCAAAAATGTTAATTGTAAATTTTTTGTTTGTGAAAGAACATTTAATTATAAATGGTGAAATTTTTAGTTAGCTTTTTTCATTACTTGCCATTAAAAAATAGAATTCTTCGATAAAATAAGTATATAAATATTAACAAAAATTATAACAAGACGACTTTCCCTTTCGTTGTCCATTGATAACCTGAACTTTGCCTCACCCGTAATAGAATTCTTCACCGCACGACCTCAACGAACCAGAAACTGATTGATTTTCTCCATTGTCGGCCGCAATGCCACATGGAATGCATAAAACGGATTGCGAATGCGAGTGCTTTAGATGGTCTATGCATTTACTTTCAACTATGGCTGCGGTTTTTTAGTATGCTCTCTCCGGCACACAGACACACCGACACACACGGCGTATGCGTGATTTTTGTGTTGTTATGCATAAGATATCCGCTTGGCTCCATTCCATTGCGAATACGCCCCGTATGCCATCACATATTCCGCATACGCCGTGGTATCTGCTAAATGCTGCTTCAATTAGACGGGCAGACAAAGACAGAAAGAGACTGCAGCGATTGCGGTCCACTCCACAGGGTGGACCAAAACAATTGTTTTCCAACCTCTGCGAGGGGGGAAAAACGTGAGGAAACTTCCTGGGCAGCTTTCATATTTAGCCGTATACATTATGAACTGCTTCTAATCGGCTTAGAAAAGAGAAGCAGCTGCAGTTTGCAGCAGCAGCAGCATCCAGCGGAGGAGAAAAAACATTTCAATTAAAACAAAAGCCATGGCCAAAGACTCGACTTCCCCTTACTATCTGCCCCCCCTTTTTGCCGCATTTTTGGCCACAAAGCAACAAAAGCAGAACCGAAAAAACGAAAATATACCAACTCAAGATGGGCGAAGAAAAAGTGGCAAGGATGAACAGCTGCGGTGGAAGCGAAGCCTCAAATACCCTTAATGATCATTGATAAAGAAACTTTTGAGCCTTTATTTTCATGGCTGAAAAGCGAAATGTAGTCACAGGATTTTGGTTGAATATTGTGTGGGCGAACAAAAAAAAATCTGGGAAATAGTTAGTTGATTAAGAAAGTTGTTTTATGTTTGGCATGGTTAATATAAAGTTTAATTTGATTTTTACCTAAGCTTTAACTATAGCTGCTTACCTGTTTAATACATTTTGTAACAAGAAATGACATCCCACTCATTTCTGCCAGGCAAATGTAAATACCCTCCGTCATAAGGTGCAGAAAAAACACAACCAAAATCGGTGCAGTGTGGAGTAAAAGGGTTGTCGTAGTGTCAGCTGAGGATTTCAGATGAAGACGAGCTGGGGATCCCGGCAGTTGCTCCACTTTTCTTTTGTGCTTCCACCTCCTTTGCCCAGGACTCAAGTTGAATTGCAAGTGCCCGAGTGCCAGTTTAAAGCAATAAAAGCTCCGGCTGCCGCAGACTTTTGTTAACCCGCTCGCCCTGCTTCAAGACCGACCACTCTACATTGCCTTCTCGTTTTTGACTTTGATGACCGTGCCACGGGTAACAACAAAAGAATCAAACAAAAACAGTGGAAAAGCCAAGTATTTCGCTGTTGTTTCAATGCCCGGAATTGCTCTGCAAAGTATGCAATGCTTTCGAGTTGGCGAGTTTTCTCGATTTGCGAAATCCAATTGCCGATTTGCGGGATCTACAACTACTCCGTGCACAGTTAAAAAAACATTTGTTATTCGCAGGACAAACAAATTTTGGATATAATCTTTTTATAAGATATTGGTATTCAAAAGATTTCCATTTTACGCTGCTATTTTCACTTATTTTATTTTCTAAACTCTAAACCTCATATTAATAAACTCTATTGGCATATTATAACCATGTTATTTTAATCATAAAATGAAAACTAAAGAAAGAAACCTCCAATATGCTTATATATACGTAGTACTTCTTTATTTTTGTGTAGTCCTGAGCTTAAATACAATACGAATCACGCAGCGCGTTACGCAATGCCAAACATTTTTATTTCAATTGCTTCCCTCTAGTCGTCATATTGAATTGCAGCGCATTGCGTTGGATTCAATTCAGGTAGTTTTCGGGCTGGCTTTTAGCGTGGATTTCAATTAGTGTTGTTCCTGATATCATTTTCTCTTAGTTAGGGTGTTGATGTCCAGTAGGAAATTTCGGGAATTTCAGCTGGCAGCGTTTGAGTGATTAAATTTCTATGGAGCTGAAGTTGATTTAATTGGGTTGTGAAAGGGAACGGAAGTGCAATTGGCATCAAATGTTCTAGCACCAATTAGGCGAATTGATATCTTAAATTTACAGAACTGTCATAACCCACATTACGAATTAGCTTGTGTAAAAACAATCAAAAAAAATCCTACTAATATTTAAAACAAATGCAACTTCAATGCACAGTTCTACTTTTCAATTTGTTGCCGCACATCCCAGTTTAAATTATCGAAACAAGTTGAAAACCAATAAAATGACATCTTTTCCCCATAAAAAAATCAATGCAATAATTACGAGAATATTGAAAAATTCGGTTAGCCAAATCAGAGGGGTAATCATAAATTTTCGGTTATCCATTAAATTTGTTGGTTGCTCGCTCGGTTGGTTTGTTATTCCTGTTGATTAGATTTAGCTTTTTGTTTTCGGTTTCTATTTGCATTCCCTGTGCGTGTTTTTTTCCGGCTTATATGATTTTGTGGCTTTTGGAAATACAAAACTAAAAGCAAAAATTAACAATTGGAAGCATATTAACCGCATCAATTTCCGTAGAGCGTCGGTGGCAAAAACAAAGAGTACACAGATCATTAAACAGACATTCACACAGATACTCCACACAGATAGCCGCACACAGATACTCACGCACACACCTTCCACATTATTTATTACGCCATGGGGCCAAAGCCACAACTTTCGACAAATTTTTTGGCAAAACATTTTACGTAATAAATTTATTTTAATTACAACGCCAAAAGTGTGGCGCATGGGCGGTGGGAACTGGGGGGCGTGGTTGTTTGCTGTGTGTGGTTGGTAATGAATGCGCTTCAATTAAATGAAATATTCATAGGCATAAATACAAGAGCAAGCCAAAAACAGGGGCGGGTGGAAAAGTCAAGGGAAAGTACAGGTAACATCCTGCCAGCGAAACGCATCTTATTGCCGGGAAACATGTTTTATGGCCCTACAAAAGCCATCGGACTATCATCACGATGCGTTTGAGGGTGGGAAAAAGGGACGGAAAACAAGAGTGGATATTTCCTGGGGGTCAACGTTAACTGACTTCATAGTGGGCGGACTCGTAATTGAATCAGAGCGATCTAAGGATACTCTTTAATTAAGAAATATATAGGTCGTATACGTAATATTTAGATCGTACTCAAATCATTAAAATATCTAGCACTAAAATATAATTAACAGATATTCAAGGTAAACTATGTTAAGCAAAATTAAAAAAACTTTAAGATATGAATCTAAATGAAACTTAATGGGCCGCATAATCTTAACTTGCATTTTGGAATGTCTTTGGAAAACACAATTTTATTTTAAAGTGTTGAGATATAGGTTCATTAAATTAAATGTTCTGTTTTTTATAAAATTTTACATATTTTTCCCTTTAATATAAACTGTTTTTATTCCATATTCGATCGTTGCCAAACTCTTTGAAAAGCAAATTTCACCCAATCGTTCGACAAAAGGGCGAGGAATGAAAAGTAAAGTCGGGAAACTCATTGCCAGCCCATTGGAGCCGTTTTGCAACTTGTTAATTACGACCTGGCCAAAATGGTTTTCTGAAAGGCGCGGAAAATGGTGAAAGGCGGGCGGAAAAGCCTGGCGTAAAGGGAAAACGGGTGGGTTTGCCGCGTGTAATGCATCTTTTCAAACAATTTACCAATTTGGACCGTCGTCTGTCTTTTTATTGTGCCAGACGAGCGGGAATTTTCCACAACCACTTGACTCGGAAAATGCAGAAATGTATTTATGCAAAAGTCGCAATTGTCAGAGGCAAGTCAAAGTGCATAAAGTGTCGCCTCAAATCAGCGAAAAGGGTGGAATATTCTGCGAAAAGTCGCACCTCGTCGCATGTGAAGTATTTTGGCATTTGAACCGAGCTTTCGAGATGGCAGCATTCACCACGCTTCAAGTCACATATAATGTCGATGGTTGTGAGTGCATAGAATATAATGCAGATGGAATATAGTTAAGGATACATAGAAATAAAATAAATACGAATGCATTCAGCCCATTCAGCGTCGCATTATGCTGATTGAATGCAAATGTATTTGGAGCGAATTTCTATAAATATAAAAATATAATGCCAACATTCGTCTGACCCCAATCCGAAAATGCAAATAAAATAGGGGATTTAAAAAAAACACTCACCTCTGTAACAGGCCAAGTATAATATATATAAGCTGGCCACATTATTAGAGCAGTGGCTATCTCTTTCAAGAGAGGTGCTATCCCTCTCTCTCAAGAGAACGCCAGAGAGAGCTGCCTGCGTGCAGCGAAG